ACCGTTATTTTTCGTGCGTTGTAAACTAGAGCTTGCTGAATCAGCAATGCTGATGCCCATATTTCTGGAGGATAGTCAAAATTATTTACTGTTAAATATTTTTCAACGAGATAGTCTGCATATTTGATATTTTATCATCTTTAAGACAGTCAGCCATAAAGTTTATAAGAAAAAATTCCAAAATATTATTTGGTTCTAGAAAAAGTAATACAAAATTGTGGCGCAACCATTTTCCAATTACCGAAGATCGGTCTTGATATTCAGTAACCAGTCCTACTTTTTATATTCGGTGATACTAAGCTTGAGTTAAATGAAACCTACACCCAATAATTTTAGTTTATGGCCAAATTTCATAGACTGCTTTAATTATAGCTTTTTAAAAATCTGTCATTACAAACTGTGGCAATAATAATACACCTAAARAATTGCATTTCTGTAATATCAAACCAAATGTATGAATATAAGTTTGGAAGTAAACAAAAAAATCAATGGAATATAATTTCCGATTTTAAGTCCATGGGTAGTAAACATTCGAGTAAAAAAACGAGCCAAATATTTAAATGTCCCGTCCATGTATAATATCTCGATTTTTTTAAGAATAAAATGTTTGATGTATATGAAGATATTACAATATTTTTCTCCTGGACAACCACAAGTAAAAAAGGCTCACCATGTTTAGTTTTTAAGTCCATTTTTTCAATGATAAATGAACTTCTTCTAAATTTGTAGGACACGCTGGTAATATTTTTCGCCGAGCTTTGTATACATTCTTCCTTATTCGTTTTATGTTTGTTGTATTAAACTGTAAAGACTCATAATTGTCATAAGCTTATTTTAAAATAATTTTTTTTGGCTTAACTGATGGTTCATCGGTTGCTTTCTGTTTACAAGCTGAACAATTTGCCTCGATATTGTATTCCAATCATAATGGTTGTGTGATACATTTTCACCATGATTTTGTACGACAATTTGATTTTCTGTGTACACTTTAGCATGACAATCTCTTTTAATATATCGCTAACGCGTTGAGTTATTTTTTTTGTTCRCTGATCYGATACTAAATTTATAATTATCTATAACCAATAACATTTGAAACRGTAATTACTATAAAGTACTATAGTCGTTCACCATGAATATGAATCCATCTGTTTTATATGTATAATTAGTCWTTTTATTTCTAGTCAAATAATTTTATGTATTACAATATTCGGGGATGGGAAACATTTTTCCCGTTTAATATTTATATAATATGAAAGGAGTTTGTTATTTTTTACAAAATAAGGGACGGAACAGATAATTGGAGTAGGCCCGCTCAAATAAGTGGCG